GACATGACAAGCAGACTATATAACAGATACTGGACACTAGACAGGACAGAACCCAAAACACAACATACCAAGGCAGATACCAAACTCAAAAGTAAACACAAAGGATGGCCAACCGGCAGAGCGTGACAATAATACTGTTTTTGTAACCTAAAAAGAAGACTAACTGAATGTGTGGTTGCATTTCTTTGTTTTCCCCCTGTTGTGAAAAAGTTCATCTGTTTTTGTTGTGCTGAAAAAATGGAGGGGTAGTGTTTATAGAAGCATGTATCCTTTGTGAGATTTTAAACATTTCGTTATGTGTTTTACATAGTGAAACCGCTACAGCGGTCATGGTTTACTGGCAGAAAACTGCATTAACTTTTCAGAATGATGTTAGTTCTCTATGTAGATGGAGAATTTCTTCTATCATTAGGCAAAAGCCATCAGCACTGGAGGTTGAACAACAGTTTCACTGAATATAGTCGGGGTTTTCAGGATTTGTCCAATATCAATGTTGTTTTCTGATGGCTGGGATGAACATTCACACAACAGTGACGAGAAGGCTTAGGGCTGATATTAATAAAATATGTATCTTATATCGATATACCGTATTGTTATTCTGTATCCTTTTTTTCTCATCCAATGAAACATGAAACACTTCCCTTGAAACAAAACATAAATGAATGCGAGGATGGATGGATCATCACATTCAGCGACGGTGGTAAATCTTGGCCGTTTCACAGGTTTGATTCAATCCCCGGTCTGTTTCTGCAGTAAAGACATGAGGGGAGATTTTTGACTCGATATCACTCCTTGGGAATTTCTTTCCTTTGAGGCAGCAGAACACATTATACTACGCCTGTAGATTAAACTGAGCTAACCAAACACTTTTAGGGCTTACTAAAGCTGATTTATAGACACACTACAAACTTACTTGAAGAAACTTGCTGGCTTAGCAACAATAAAGCTACAAACAACCCATAATGCAGCACTTTCGGTAGAAGCTGGTGTTAACACCATTACTGTTCGTTCAAATGATCTAATGTTATGAATAGGGCCATCAACTTTTATTTGGCTCAATAGTATACGGGATATCACACTGTAAATAACATACAATAATCAAAGTAATGCTTACTGCAAATAATACAGAATACAATCCAATTCCACATATGGCCAAACCCTAGTTTGGACCTTGCACAACACTGAAAAAACAACCTCCACATGAACAGTTTGTTACATAATCACTTGAGATTTCTCAGTTCATTTGTTGAATGTACCTCCTGATAAGGTTATTATTCACTGCTCCATGTGAGGAGCAGTAGGAGGATGAAATGGTGGAGGGAAGAGTGTATGTAGGGCCTGCTGACCTTGGCATCCATCTTTAGTATGTATGAGCACTACTGACTCAGCAGTAAAAACTCCCACTGATCTCCTGGTACCTCTCCACAGCTAATTTAAGAACCGCTCACTCCCCCCTCAGCTGCCTGCATGCTGGGAAATAGATTGTGGATGGCCTGAGGTTGGCTGGATGAGGACTTTGCTTTGTTGGGCATGCATACTATATTAGTTCAACTCTGTAATGCATTCTAACCAGACTGTAAGTGCTAAATAGAAGGTACAGGCTTTAATCCTCACAGGCCAGACAGCCTTCCATCTTTACAAGATCAATAGCAACTAAACAGTGTAATGTGGATTAATCTGTTTTGAAGATTAAAAAAGCTCATGCAGTGACTGATAGCTTTGTTTGAAGATAAAGAACAGTGTGAAGAATCACCTTGTTTTGATGGGATTCTTTTAAGATGTTATTCTAAACTAGAATTGTTGCTTATTTTCCTTCTTTTTGTTGAAATAGAGTAAAGCTGTATTGATTTAGTTCCCTTTTTCTTGCCTTTCATGGCTCCCTGACTTGGAAACCCAGTATTTGACTGACTGTTTTTGAGAAAGCTGATGGCTGAGGCGTCACGGCCAGCTGCTCATCAGTTTTTCTCATTGTGGATGTTTGGATTTAGTCAAGATTTTTGTAAGATAGGTGGGCCTGGCAAGCAACACAGATTTTTTTTTTATAATTGCATTAATCATGTTTTGCTGTTCACCTATCTACTCTCGAACATCCAATCCAACCCATTTATTTACATAGCGCATTTTAAAAACGTCCTGTGCTGTATAAGGACTAAAATATAAAAAACATAGCTGCTGAAAAAGCGTGCTCACCCCTGTTTTTTTAGTCTGGTTTTAACACATCAGTCCTGTCTGTAATATGAGCATTGTACTCAACAAGTTCATTTTTGTAAGATTATTTTTCAGGGCTTTTTGCTTTTATTAGACAGGGACAGCTGAAGACAGACAGGATGACATGCAAAGGGCCCCGGGCTGGAACCGAACCCGGGCCACTGCATTTATGACTCTTACAGGGTGGGCACGCTATACCAAGTGAGCTACCGGGCTGCCCTGATTGACAGTTAAAAAAAAAAAAAGATGGTTGAAATCAATGCAGCAGAACTGGAGCCTCAAGCAGAGTTGAGGAGCGGGCTACAGGGGTCTCACTTCTTTCTAACTCCACACCCCCAGATTACTGTCATTTTCAAACTTGCAGTCTTCAGCCCCAATCGACGCTGACTCTGGTGCCATCACTTGAGGATATTTACACAGCTCCCTCTGAAGCGCACAACTGTTTTCACATATGCAGTGTGCATATTCACTCACCAAGTTCATTTCTGAGATCTAGGGAAAAAAATAGGACATATGTATCAAGAAAAACAAGCAGTCAACTTATTTGGATGAGAAAACGGTGATCTAATAAAATTATGATCAGAAGTGTCCATTGCAAACATCCATCAGTTTCCAATCCAGCTTCCTCTTTAAACTTTGACCTACTGTACTTGCCGTAGTTGAACACTATTATTATGAATGTTTCAGGTGCTTCTTTTCATTTTCCACATGAAGTGGTTACATAATCTGGATGAACTATTGGTTTGTCTGATTGTCTGACTGTTTGTTGACTCATCTGATGTTGCAATGTCGCTGTTTTCCAAGATCTCTGCAGTGAACATGGTGAATTCTGTGTTATCACAACTGTTTGTGACAAAAGCCAAAATTTAAAAAAATACAACCCACATTGAAGTTAACTGTCTTTTATTCTACCTGGATTTGAGGAATTAAAAATTCTGAGTACACTTTGCTGGTGTTAAATACAGTCTTGGTGTCCACAAATAGTGTTCATCCAAAATGATTAAAATGTCATTAATTGTAATTAATCACACAGGTATTGCTTAATTGCAATAAAAATGTTTAACTACAGTAAAAGTATGGAGTAGAATATAAACAGAAGGGATCTGCAGTAGAATTTTCTTCCCACCACTGCTGACAATGAGATTAAACAGGCACATTTTTGATTAACCCAGACCAAAGTAGAATCACTGTGTAGTCTCTCCAAAAGGAGCAGTGTTTTTTTTTTTTAGCTTTAATTGTTCCGCACAGTCATCACCTTGATGCCAAATCTGTGGTCTTTGTTTTGCAGCCTTTCTAAAGAGGCTGCCCGCTCTCTGCTGCCTGCTCCAATAAACTCTCATTAATCTTCCTTACAGCCTTCATTAAAGCTACCAGTGCTAAACCCATGCCCGCTCTCCAGTATCCTATCTCCTCCTTAATGCCCATCCAACCCTGATCTCTACCTAGCTTGTCTTCCATAATATCTCCTCCCTAATGCCCATGTACATCCCCCCCCCCCTCCCTCGTCCCTTGGTCTTCTGAAACTCTCCTCTTTATTTCATTCCACCTCCTTTCTTGTCCTCTAAATACCTTTTGTCTAGTGTCTCAAACACTTTAAATTCTTATGAGCTAAGTTTCAAATTCAGTTTGGAGCTTCTCACAAATGGTGTGCCATTGCAGTTGAAGCCCTCTCCTGGTTTGTAGTTGACTCAGACATAAAAGCCCACTTTATGAAGGGATTATGTTTCTGCTGGCTCTGTGTTGAGCCAGTTGACCCTGTAGTGTCTGCCTCTGATCCCCTTCAACCTCTATTTCTGTCTGCACACAATCCAAACCATGCGCAAGTCAAGAACAGGCAGTTAGCTAGAGATCATGACTCACTTATCTCTTTATCCTGAGATAAAACCAATGATTAAGTTTTGGTTTAGTCATATTTTATTAATAAAGCCTCCCTGTTTTATGGTCTACTCATGTTTTAATTTGATGTTACTGCAAACTCAACACTTTTCGGTGTTTTTGGACCGGCCTTTATTCCTTTAAAGTATCTTTTATATATATTTTCTTTTATCACTACTTTCTTATACCTTGTGTTTCCTTTAAATGTCATTCACAGTGGAAGGCAAAAGTGGAATTTTATTGTACGGGGAAACTTTTTTTAACCATGCAGCTGACAATAAATGAAAAAATGACCATGTGCTGCCCATTACCCCAGTTATTTGAGACTTCAGGACTTATTTATATGAATTAATTAATATTGACTTTTATTTAGGAATGTGTTGTATATAAGTTGTTTTTTGTCTTACAGTAACATTGTGTGGTTTGTTAGGCCTACTTTATCTGGTCACATTTTTGTTCTATTCTATACAGCCCTTTCTCTCGAGGCTGACATAACTCTTAAACTAACTTGGATTGATCATACCAGTTTTCTTATTTAAACAAAAGTATACAGCCTTTTTCTGGGTGTGAATGTGTTTGAAAATATGTGAAAGTATTAAGAAAAAAATTAAATCACTGTCTGATGTTGGAGCAGAACGGCCAGGTTGTCGTAGTGTACACACCAAAAGAAGTAAATTAAAATGTTTCATCATAAAATAACTCATGGGATGCCTTGAACATCACATTATAAAAATATGCAACATTAAAAGAAAATTAAAACGTTTTCTGAAAACCACCACATTACTTCAGCCAAACTCCCAGAACAAATATATGACTATAACACATACAAGGAAGTGGATAAGTTAAAGCTGCAGAGAAAAAGAATGGACGTAGAGAAGGTGAAAAAGCAGTAACGGTGTCGTGTTTGCTGTGCTCAGGTCAGCAGGTTCTGGGTCTGGTGGAGAACCAGAGTGACTGGTACCTGGGGAACCTGTGGAAGAACCATAGACCCTGGCCAGCTCTGGGAAGAGGCTTCAACACTGGTGAGTACAGCATGTTATGTTAGCATGGTGCATGGGATACACTTAAAACATATGTATTGTGTGTAAAATTGTGTGCATACTACATACTTTCATTTTAAGCAGGACTTGAGTTTGTATGTGTTATAGTGAAAATAATGACATTGCGTTGGGCTCTGTAGTGGCTGCTGGAGTCATTTTACTGCCATTGATGTTGTGCCAATGTCCACCATATTTTATTTTATTTATAGAGTTTAAGTTTACAGAGACAGTGCACATTGATAAACATTTCTGTAAATGTGGCAGTTTAGAACAACAGGAACAACAGTACTCACACATATAACAAGATATCTTTCACAAGGACAACAATTTAAAAAACATGAAACATGGAACAAAGCACTCTTCAGGTGTTTCTGAATAGTTCACAGACTATGGTCACACACCTGATTGTCTTTTAACCCTGATTTTAAATTTAATTTTATATATTACTCACCAGACCTATTTTTGCCAGAGCAACTTGTGTCCTTAAAGTGTGAAATTCACTTGTGAAAGTCACAAGCATGCAGCATACAGCATACAGCAAAACTAGTTTTCTTGTTTGTTGCTGTCACTTCTCATGTGAAGCTAGAGATGAAATGCTGTTTTCCTTCTACTAATATTCACTATTCAGGAAATGCAGTTACAAAGTACAGATCAGACAACGTGCTGTGTATGTGTCATTAAAACCAGTACAGCCTGTGTTACCACATCAAGCATGAATAAGCTTGAAAACATGTTTTCAATAACCTTGTAAAATACAAAAAATGCGAGCAAACTCAAAAACACATTGGAAATGTGTCTGCTGAACAACAGATTGCTGAGAGGCATTCTGATTCTGAAACACTTCCTTTGAAACACGACGCCGACACAGTCAGTGGACAATCGATGTATTAACCCTACACAGCATCCACTTAGCAGCGGTATTCCAAAAATCCCAGTTTGATTGTGTCTGCTTAAATTGTGCTTCGTTTCCTGCTAGCGCAAAATCTTAAAGTACTTTATCCTTGTGTACAAAAATGTAAAAACAGTATAGAAGGTTTGCCAACATGAACACATAAACACCATGAGACAGTATCTATTTGTCAAGTCAGAGAGATTTTACCAGATTGTTTGTACTGAAGGAGCTGAGGTATCAGGCTGTCGTGGGCAATGTTGCAAATCAATGAGCAGGACTGTTTTATGGCAGTAGAATTTCAGATGACTAAAACAAACACGCCTGTCGGGTTACTGTAGCAGTAAACAGGTTTCTCAATAGATTTGCTAGAAAATGTACTAAATTACAATATTGCTATCTCGCTATAAGATCACACGTATACAAACATTGTATACATATTGCCCTCTCCTACTGTGACAATTTGTATAGTACACACTGCCCTGTATTATTGGTATGTAGTATTGATTTAATTTGATTGAGCTCTCTCTGGGAATATAATTTGGCATTGTTATTTCAGCCATCTGAGGTTATTTTAATTTACGGTAATAGGAAAACATTCGATTGCTTCCAAGTATTATTATTTTCATTCTCCACATTTCAGAGTCCTGTGAAAGTTAAGAGTGTGCCGCAGTGAGGCAGTGTCCTTTCCTTGGAAGAAATTAGTGCGTTTGCACAGACATTGATGAAATATACAAGCCATCCACCTGCCTTGTTGAACGTTGTAGGGGAAAAACATTTTCAAAAAAGGTGTTGGATGTAATTTCACAGAGCCTCCGAGCAGCTGATAGTGGAATTGATTGGATTCCATTACACCTTGTATTATTATCCTCTGCCTATAAATTCAGCAGGGCTTTCCCTTCGGGAGACTTATAGCTCTCTCTGTGCTGTTTGGAGCTGTGGGATAATCGTTCTGTTGACTACAACCCAAAACAAACAGCACCACCCGCTGCAGTGAATTTCATAGCAGGCGCATTTCAGTGGGAGCCGTGTCAAACTCACCTGAACACGTCTGTGCTGTAAGGATTCAGTGTTCTGCTCTTAAACTTCCTGTCAGTGTGACTGAACGGCACGTCTCAGAAATAGAAAGGCATGTGTCACATTTACACAGAACAGCAATTTGACAGAAAGCCTCCAAGCTTTGTGGCTGTGGCAACAGATAGAGCACAGCAGGGTGTGAAAGAAGTTTGTTTGTTCTCATCCGGAACAAAAACATATCCACCATCTCTCTCCCTCTGAAAATTGGCTGCTTGATTTTGTTTGTAAAGCCAGGAAGATTTCTTTTATTAGCCAGGGAACCGAGAAGAAGTTTTTGTTTTAGATTTCCTGTTTTTTGGGGCAGAAAGTTAGCAAAGAAAAGAAGCACATGAGCTTCTAAGAATGGTTTGTTTCCAAGAGGACTTTTTCTGCGTCCAGCCTCGGTCTGTCTTTAAGCTTAAAGTCTACAGCTTTATCTCAGAAAACACAAGGCTGTGATTCAGAGCCTCATGATGGGACTTTATCACCTTTTCCAGGGAGCTAGATAGCAATCTCTCTCTTTCTTAAGCTACCATATCTCTGTCTGTACGTGTGTATGTGTGTGCTTTCCAGGGGTGATTTTGCTTCTCCTGGATCGTCTACGGAAGCTGAGATGGGAGCAGATGTGGAGGTTGACTGCGGAGAGGGAACTAATGAGCATGCTGTCCACCTCCTTGGCAGACCAGGTAAAACACACTCACACACATCCTCATTCCTCAGACATGCAAATTTGCCACCCTTTGGCAAAATTTGCCATTTCACATCACATAATATAAACAGTAACATACCCGTTCTGTGATTGCTTCCTGAATTTTTGCTGTTAAATTAAGCTACAGGAAAGGGTTCTGTTTGCTTCAAACAAGCTGCTTTGTACAACGTGTCATCCGACCACGTCTAAGTGTTTCTGCCTGTTCTAAATGGCCACATCGGAATGCTGGGTGAAAAACCTGCCATCACAGCCTCCTCCAGGCTGCATCTCGCCGCCTCCCTGATCTCTCTTCAATAACTCTGTTCTTTTGTCTCTGTTGTGTCGGCCCCGTGAATCATACAAATCGGGATAACAGCGCATACTTTCAGACACTCTCTCGTCAAAGGCTTTCATGGTGTTGCACTCGTTTTTACAAATGAAAACTGACAGAGGTAGTAGAAGAAGAACGAAAAAATAAAGTTTAGGAGGCCAATTCAAACCTTGCATACTTAGCTGGAGACACACCGGATCCGTTGACGGATGTCAAGGAGACGAATTCTATTCATTTTCTACGCTGCGGCGAGTTGACTCACCATTCTCCTTATCTGAATTTGCATCAACACGACTCGCTCTCAACTTTATGCAAGTGAGCCTGTCCAAAGCAATGCTTCAGGCTCACAAAACTCACAACAAACGGTAAAACTAAACAGTGCTGATCAAATATTAATCAAAAATATGTTACTGGATTGTCCATTTCTCTCTTCAGATGTTTTCAGAAACATATTTGAGTGTACTGTTTCGCTCTAATATGAGGAAGTGTCCGACTCAGCCTCCATGTTGAAAATGGACAATCCCCAGTGAAGCACCGCCCAATTTGCAGTTTCGACACCCACTAGCCATTAAATAACTTTACTTATCAAGGCAACGTACAAATAAAGTTTGTTGGTCTGACTACCTTTTAAATTAGTTTGTTTTGATGGATACTCAGTCATCACAATACACCAAAACTGAGAAGCTCACTTCAGGGAATTTCCTTTTCAGCATGCTGTCACATAAAACCTCAACCAGCTGAGCTTCCTTGTTGCTTGGCAACGTCATGCCTTCCACATCAACTCCAAAGGGATTGTGTATCCCCTTATTGTTCTCAGGAATATAGTCATTAATGTGTCCAGCAGTTTAGCAAGGCATGATGACGTCATATCATATGTCAGAGCATTTCTCCCTGCGGTATTAAATTGTTGCGTCTCATGGGAAATACTGGGAAACATGTCAAGTCTTCCTGTAGCGTGAGTCAACATGGATGCTAATGAACATTTTCTATCTTTTATTGTTGAAAGAATGATGTCCACATGGCCTTTGGGTCACACAGTAGGCCCCGCCAGGATTCAAGGATGGCACTAAAAGAGTTAAGTGACAGCGTCAAACTGACCTAGTACTCCCATATTCCAAGAGACTGGAGTTACAGTACCTAGCACTGTGAAATCACAAGACAAAGAGCAAAGGAAATGACTTTGCAAAATCTAATGTAAACTATTTCATATGTGAGGTTTAAAGGAGACCTATTATTCCACATTTTATGACTTATCTAAAATGTTACAGTGTTGGATGTTCATGTTAAACATGGCCAAAGCTTCAAATAATGAGGTAAAATTACTTGAAAAGACATCCCTGTGAGCAAAACCCTCAGGTTTCCTCCTGTTCTGAACGCTCTGTTTTCATCAGCTTTTTCTACCAACTGCTCCATTCTACAACATACAGAGCCAGACGGAGCTGGTGTTCCATATATGTTCATTTGCTCCGCATGGTAATAGTCACTCTGTCTGTACCGCTCAGCGACAACAACAGTCTGGTATAATGCTTCAGGTCTTGGCCAATCAGAAGACAGTGGGCTTTTGTGGGGGGGACTTAAAGAGACAAGAACATCTACAGCTTGTTTCAGACTGAGGCTGAAATGAAGGCCTACATGAATTCAATTTTCAATTCAATTCAATTTTATTTATATAGCGCCAAATCACAACAACAGTTATCTCACAGCGCTTTTCATAAAAGAGCAGGTCTAGACCATACTCTATGATGCTATTTACAGAAGCCCAACAGTTCCCACCAAGAGCAGCACTAGGCGACAGAGGCAAGGAAAAACTTCCTTTTAAGAGGCAGAAACCTCGAGCAGAACCATGGCTCAGGGTGAAGCCAGCATAAGATAGAAAATTATTTTTCTGAACTTTGAATCATGCTAAGCTGCTAAAGGAGTCACAGAACTACAATATAGGACTGGAAAAGCAGTTTAATAATAATAATAATCTCCTTTAATTAACAACATAGGAAGAATGTGAAGTTGTATTTTAACATTTTGATACAGGAACAGTAGAAACTGAACCAACAGAAATTGGGTGTCATACCCCAGGAAGTAATTTCGTGTTTAAAAGACGTCTAATAGTCTAAAACAGGCTAAAGATGAGCAGTCTGTTGAAGTTTAGCAGATGTCTAACCATAGCCCATAAGTACAGCCTAGCCATCAATTAGATTGCTACTGACATATACATTAGGTAAATCTAATAGACACCAAAATAATGGCTATTGCAATCACTTTTTACTGAGGTCTTAACTGGGTCTGATAACAAATGCTGCAGTTACCAACTGAGGTATGGGGGAAACTGTCTAATATACAGCTAACTGCCATCCATTCTCATACTAGGCTAAAACACAGCTAAATTTGGGCTGTCAGTAAAAGTTTAATAGACTTCTAACCATAGCCCAAGTACAGCCGAGATCTATGGCTCAGGATGTAGAGCGGGTTGCCTGTTAATCGAAAGATTAGCCGTTCCCGGCTCCTCTAGGCTGCATGTCGAAGTGTCCTTGGGCAAGATACTGAACCATCCACCAGTGTATGAATGTGTGAATGTTAGTTTCTGTTTGAGCACTTAGGCTCAGTGTATGAATGTGTGAATGTTAGTTTCCGTTTGAGCACTTAGGCTCAGTGTATGAATGTGTATGAATGGTGAATGCAGATGTAGTGTAAAAGCGCTTTGAGTGGTCGCAAAGACTAGAAAGGCGCTATACAAATACGGAGAATTTACTTAAAATCCTTGATCATAATACAGTTGAACTGAAAATCTCTACAGTAGATCTGCTGCTGGTGGATGTATTTTGGGTTGTGCCACTGTTAAATACATAGATAGATGTTCCTTAATTGATCCCCTGTGGTGGAGATTCAAATTGACACAGCAGCACAGAGAAATGTAGTGCAAAGAAAATTTATGTTCTTTCGATCTTTTGCAAGGTACCCACAACATCACAAAATCCCTGAGCCACATATATCTTTTGCCTCCATTTTCATCTCAAAGTGCAACAGAACACACTGTTACATGTCAAAGGCTTGATTTGAGTTATGGTACCTTCACACCTGAGTGTAGACATTTCCTGAAGGTCATAAATAGCTGTTATCTTAAGTAGTGCAGTGTTCTATATCTAACATAGTAATAACAGACAGTGAGACCTTGGTGAAGGCTCTCCATTATCTCAGAGATATTCAGAGCTCATCTAGATGAGAGGTGCGTTTATGAGATTTTAATTAAACCTTCATTAAGTAAAGTCCCGCAAGGTATGCAGTTTGGAAAATGAATGGGGCTTTGGAAAGTATTCCATCTGCCTTATCCTGTATGAACTCCTCCAATGGACTGTCAGCCGTCTTTATCGCAGCCTTCATTATGTGGCTATAGTTGTTACAGTTTTTATGTCTCCCATTAGGAAACTGGAATCTGCCACTGAGACTCTTGTCAACCCACAAAGACTTCAAAGTTAAAAAATCTCTCAGATGTCACCAAAGTACATTTCCTCAAAGCGATTTGAGGTATTCAGCTTTATGAGTGTGATTACACATACATAAGGAATTAAAGAGTATCTGTAGACATAAACACTAACAAGACAGAGGGGTCAGGATTGCTATACTACCACTACTGCTCTCCAGTAACATCTGATGAGAATGTGTTACAGTAATTCTTCCCACCTCCACTGCTGGTGGTGCTGAGGAAATTGAATAAGATAATTTGATTCAATATTCCTACATTTTAGATTTCATTTGTTTTGAGTTAAAAATAGTGGATTTTTTTTCAGTTGTACTTTTATTAACAAACTAACCACAGTAATTGTTATTGTTTTCATGATCTGTTATTTCCCCTTTTAATCTGTATCATGGATACTATTAATGTATAGTCAGGGAGAGTAGGAGTGTTGTTGTTTTTCAGCAATAAACACATTTTAATTGTTTATGAAAATTTTCATTCGGCTCTCAGCTCTGCTCTGCTGAGAATATACGACTAGTCTATTTCTGATGGAAGCAACAAGAGCAGATCAAACCTGTCAGGAAGTCAGACAAGGAAACGGCATGGAGCAGGGGTCTGCAAATAAGTCTGGCATCGGGCCAAACGTTTTTCATGTCATCTCTTGTCGCACTTTTATTTTGTAGGACAATCACTTAAGAGGAAGTGATTATGAGAGTTACTTTTGCAGTAATGACTGAGAGCTTTTTCAGCACCAGCTGCTAGAATGTTTTTGCTGCTATTAAAGTAATCTGGCCACGGGCCAAAGCTGGCCTGCCAGCAATAATATCTGGTCCGCCTATAGCCGACCACTGGCATAGAGTATCCAGTCAATTTTCAAAATAAAACACCCTGTAACTATGCAGCCTAAAACAAAAAACTGGGGAAGAAAAACACTCGTGCCTGGTAAAATCGAGGTGTAAAACAGGCGTAGTGTGGTCACTTCAATTGGTTCTCTTTGTTCTCTCTGGCATCTTCTGTAAAATCTGGGGCTGATTAATACATTTTTGGTTGAGGCAGCTGTTACAATTTAGATGTTTTTGATATCCATTGTTTCACTGTGCTTGTTAAATTGGTCTTGAGTTTAAAATCCATGCAACAAGCAGGGAAGATTAAATTCAACTTTGTGTGGTCATGGAATAAACAAGCAGCAGGGTCACTTTAGACTCTGTGGTGCAGGTCTGCAAATGATGAAACATAAGGCAAAACATAAGGCTCAGTCAGTGTGTGTGCACGTGTGTGTCTGCAGGACATCTTCAACGCGGTGATCAAACAGAACCCGTTCCTGGTTCACCAGCTGCCGTGCTTCTGGAACGTCCAGCTGTCCGACCACACCCGCTCTGAGAAGTGCTACAAAGACGTGTCGGACCTCAAGGTGAAACCCTGCTGCCCTCACTGTGCTCACACTCACTTCAGACACACAAGACCTGACCTGCATTCATCAAGAGTCTCAAGCCAGTCCCACATTCAAAGTGACACACAGTTGGTTCTACTCGGCAGTCCGAGTAATTATAAAAGCATTGTGAATCTTGTTAGCCTTGAAAATACACTGTCCTTTCCTCATTTCAGTAGATGTGCAGAGCTATCCAAGCCTGGGAGGAGTTCCCAGTAGGTGGAAAATTATCCAGAATGTATAGGCCTACAAAGAACATACTGTAAACTTCAAAGATATTGTTCAAAGGCTTTATGCTGATTAATCAGATAATACGTTCGTCCATTGTCAGCTGTTTTTCCACCAAGGAAATGCACCTAAAGTAGCAGCGATTAGGAGCCTTTTAACACCTCTTTTAAAGGCTTTGTCAGTGTCATAGCTCATTTAATATAATTTCTCTAAGAATAAATCAGGATGCCTTTCAAATGAGTTGATATCAAAATATTAACATTTAAGTGGTTATGGATGGATGATCCTTGATGTTGTCGTTAAATTGCCTGAGCGGACATGACTCAGTGAGAGCAGACCAACGGCCAAGTCATGTAACAAACTGTTCGTGTTGAGGCATTCACGTTTGATGCAGAAAACATCATTATAAAGAAAAATGAATTACAATTAGAGACCACAAACCCAAGATGACAGCACTATTTAGCTCAGCTGCTGGAAACTGATTAGATTAGATTAACTGAAGCAGAGGAGCTCTTTGCAGGCCTTTTATTGAGAGGCCTGCCAGACATCCACATGGGATGCTATTTTCTTCATCACATGTCAGCAACGTTTACTGGAATGTTCCAAATTTCAGTCTGTGGAGCCTGAAATCTTATTTTATGGGGTTAATGGCGGAAGTTGAAGTACTGAAAGTATTTGAAGTGACAGTTGAGGTGCAAGCACTGTCAGAGTTAGTAGTGAAGACATTGATATAGCAGGTGTGATGTTAGCACTGAAAGGACTATGTGACGTATGTGAAGGAATTTACGTCTTCAAAGGTAATAAAACAGGGTTCCCCAGATCACATTAGGATCATTTGCTGAGCTAAAGTAAGCCAAAGGTGACTCTCCAAAAACAAAGTCAGACTGTCTCTCCTCTCTGTCTGTAATGTTAACAGACAGATGCAGCTTTTTGACCAATACTCAATAAAATATCCACATATGGACATGGACACTCTGATCTCTGTAGGTGGGGGAAGGACAGATGCAAGGATAAGGAAGGACAGATACAGAATAGTATACTCCACCACATTTGGATGAGATGGTGGAGCTAACAACCGTGTGTGGACCTAGCTAGCTTGCTTAGCTAGGTGCGTCTGTAATTCACGAATTAATGTAATTCATTCAAGAATTTTAATCACAAAGTAAATAAATGTTTTTAAAAGGCAAAAACACTTTCTCTCTGTAGTATGTGGAAGTACCTGAAATAAAAAAAAGTGTCCAGAAAAATAATAATCATAGTTCATTCTTACTGCATGTGGTTGTAGGAAACTTTATAACATGAGAGGTTCATGTCCTTCTTTGATGTAGGTAGATATTTTCTGAGTTAATCTTCAGAATGTAAGTACTAAAATAAATTGGGAGATGCTTGATACAGATTCTGGCCCGGTATAATTGCCAGTGTTTGAATGTCTGAAATGCTTTTTCTTCAAAGGCTCAGTAAAAACTCTGGGAAAAATACTTGGTACTAGAATGACAGTGGCTCAAATCCCAGGATCAGGCAGTTTGGTGCAGTGCGATTGGTTGACTGGTCTGTACATTACAATAGAATTATCTGAGCATGAAAATACAACAAACCCTGATAACCTTTTTCCCTGCTCTTCTTTTCTTCTGCACAGGTGATCCACTGGAATTCTCCCAAGAAGCTGCGAGTGAAGAACAAGCATGTGGAGTTTTTCCGGAATCTCTATCTAACCTTTTTGGAGTACGATGGCAATCTGCTGCGGCGAGAGCTGTTCGGGTGTCCCAGCGAGGCCGACCACAACAGTGAGAACGTAGGTGCAACTGCTTCTGTGTGTCTGGTGGTGTGTATTTGGTGCTGATGTTATGAAGGGTGGTGGTAAACTAGTCTATAGTCGACTCTAGCAGGTCACGTGTTTAGAACGTGTATTTGGGGAAAAAAAAGATTTCTGATCTAAGTTAACAACCCTGAAAATCTAACCAAGCAAGAAGCAACTGATGCCAGCTTTTAGTACAACATTTTAATACTCAATGTGACTGACAGAATTTTGTTGATACTCAAAGTGTTTGAGATTTGAAACTTACAGTATTCTGTATGTAAGAACTGTTGTTAAAGTTGATTTTTTTTAAGGTTCTGCTCATTGTGAAGGTGATGATCCAGTCAAGGCAAGCCCTCAGTCATTTCTTGTCATACCTGTCAACCCTCCCCCTTTTCCCAGGATTCTCACGTATTTTACCGTTCTATCCCGTATTTTTAACCCTAAGTGAAAAAAATACTGCGAGCAGTATGTAGAACATTAGCTGTGACGGGAAGTCAATGGCACCCACCAATAAAACAAGAAGAACAGCAGCGCGAGGGGTTCATGATGGATTATGCATTGCTCTACACAGTATTTAACTGGTATATTGCCCAAAAAATAGAACCTGAAAAATGCGAGTGCAAGTAAAGACTGCAACCTACATAATTCATTTGCATGAACGGTTATGATTATTGAGTTAGTAGGCCTACTTAGCATTAATAAATTAGCGACCAATGTAGACTGTGCTTCCTGCACAAGGATTTAGTGAATATAAACAACTCACAAAAATGAAACTGTTGAAACTGTAATAATATTAGGCCTAGTGGTGAACTACATCTGAAATTATAATGTATATAGTATATTGTACTTAATATATATGTATACTATAGATAATATTAACATTGTATATAGCCTATACTATGAAATTAACATTATACTATTGTTTAGTAGAATATTATATAAAAAAACAATATATATATAAGGACAAGGTTGCCTGAAAACTTCCCTTATTATTTCCCTTATTTTCAAATACTAATGTTGACAGGTATGATTCTTGTACAAACAAAGACGATAAGGAACTAAACTCTAATCGTAAATGGACTGTACTTGTATAGTCCCTTTCTTGTCTTCTGACCACTCAAAGGGCTTGACACTACATCACATTCACACACCGATGGCACAGCCCCCGCACAAAAAAACTGTAAAATTAGCTGTGGGTTATGTAGAATCCACCGTGTCAGCTGGAGAATGATGCTTAATTTCCATCTCGGAGGGAGGAACATATTGAAGGGAGGACTTAATGAGGTGAACTAGGGACCCTGCTGATCCACTCTGTCCATCACACGCTGCCTGTAGAAGAATGTGGTTAAACTGGGGAACAACATTCACGCTCTGTGCCTGCCTACCTTAGTTGTTCGACAGGATACCTGATCTCACCCAGGCATGACCTTGACTTCCATCCACATGGAAATTCCTATAGTAGAAACAGGGTTCTCCACACATCTTCAAACAAAATGCAGCTGAATCAGGTGCTTCTCATTTTGAGGACAGAAAATTTCTAGAGGACAAAAGGGACTGGGGCTTGCAATTAATTGGCAGCTTTCAATAGTGCAATAAGACGTTTCGACACTACTGTGTCTTATCAGAGTCAGAATTATGGACATGAGGCAAAGAAACTTTGTCACCGGATAATTGGTTGAACAAGGGTTTTAAATCTGGAAAATGAATCATAAGGTGTGAGTAGCCGTAGTAATAACTTTATTTGTCCATGTCAAGGTGCTGGACCCCTAACCACATGTCAGGAACAAACCAACAAAAGAGCACAGACCTCACTTATAGTTAAAAGGTCAAGACAGATTTGTGTCCATTTAGACTCTGATGAAGACACAGTAGTGTTGAAACGGTAATGTGTTTAGGGCTTAACGATTAATCGTTTTCAAATCAAAATTGCGATAATCGAAATGTGATTAGCTAATTATGAAGACAGCGATTAAAATGTAGGTTAATTAAACAGCGAATCAGATCTGTTTTAAACAGTCATTCAGTCACAGATTCATGCTGTTGTCATCTTTAGGTGACAGATTTGCTTTCCAATCACAAGCGCCATGCGCCTTCTGTTACAACAATCGAAACTGGAAAACGTGGGATAATGGCGGCAGCGTCTGATTTTGCTGACTTGTTCAGATTTTGTTTATTTGTTATGTTGTCCTTGATTTTTGTGCTACTAGTTAAATTTTTCTTTCTTTTGTCTGTTTAACTGTGATTATTGTTGATGTACGATCGGGTGTCTCCAAAGGGTGTTTTATTTTGAAAATCAACTGGATCCTCTATGCTGTCTGTGTCTGACTTCCTGCCTGGTTCATCTGCTCTGTGCTGCTTCCATCAAAAATAGAGGCAGTGTATATTAAACTTTAGCAAAACTTCAGTAAAAAAAATTTCAAATCGAATCGTAATCTCAATATCTGTCCAAAAAATTGCAAATACATTTTTTCCCCAAATACAGGTCCTGCCTTTGCCATTTCTTTGTATCTTTTGTTTGATAACTGGACAGAATGCATCCATCCATCCATCCATTGTCAACAGCTTATCCTGCGTACAGGGTCGCGGGGGGGCTGGAGCCAATCCCAGCTGACAGTGGGCGAAAGGTGTGGTACACCCTGGACAGGTCGCCAGTCCATCGCAGGGCCCTGGACAGAATGCAAAGAGAGAAAATCTTAGCTTTGCTGGTTGCAAACTACATGAGGATTTACAAGCATATATCAGCCTATCTGTAAACGTTTTCCCTTCCACACTTAACACTGGAACCTTTGTATTACTCAGGAGAACTTTTTGAAAAGCTCAAAATCAGTGGTTGAAAGCATTTGCTTCTGGGCAATCCATTCACCAGTTTTTTTGAAGTGTGTGTGTGTACATCACTCCTCAGGTTCGTCAGGTACACTAATTTGCAGCCACTTATATTAGTCTTTTATTTTACTGCTGTGCACCTACAGAAGCATATCTCCTATGTCCACCTTATGTTTAACACATGAACTATATCTACAATGATGGTTTTTCTCTATGAGCTTTCCAGTTTTACGATAGACTTGCAGAGCTGTGGTATGCGAGGAACAATACTTTTTATGTTTTATGCTGAGGCTACAGTGACGTTGAAGCTACCACTTAAGACCGCAAGAAGTGTGATTGGTCAGCCTAGTTTGCTGTGTTTTCTCCTTGCGTGTGCTGATGGAGACTGTTAGTGAAGACTATTGAAATCCAGTGCTAGCAGAACCACACATCAAAACTTTCTAGAGGAGGAACTCGAGGAGTGGCGTCTCATAGTGTGTGGATCATCTAGAGCAGGGGTCAGCAACCTTTCTGTG